ATCTCCTTCTTTTCTTTTCCACTATTGAATTTTTGTATTTATACAGTAGTGAATTTTAATAGAAAAACCTATAGGTACAAGTATAACGATCGTTATGTAGAAAGTCTCAATATCCGATAAAAATGTTGAAATATCTATATTGTAATAACGTATTTGTTGGTTATCTATTAACAACGAAATAAATTATAATTTATCCTTTTTTATAAATCAATAAATATACGCGCTTTTTATGATTTCTGATCGAAATAGATTTATATGCCGAACTACTACTAGATTGAAATTTTCATATTAAGCATTAAAACTATTACTTAATTAATAGTAACTCTAAAAAAGTAAATAACTCGATTAAAATTTCTTTTATTAATTTTTCTTCCACCTTTTCTCGCAATCTCTATACAAACAACAAACATGAAAATCATAGTACATAAAAAATCTTTTACAATTTATTATTAATAGCAATAATAATAATAATAATAATAATAATAATAACAAAGTATGTCATCAAAGTTATTTTTGTTCATTTAATACATTCATATTCTCAGAATTTTTAACAAATGCTTTGCTACTAAATGATGTATAAATGCGTTTAATTTTAAAAAAAATATTTTTGCAATGAAAATTGAGAGAATACAATCAAAAAGTGTTTAAAAAAGTTTATAATTTATATTTAAAATAAAATAATTCTTACACAATCTAGCAATTAACTCTAGTATATATATATATATATATATATATATATATATATATAAAATGTTTTATTTTCTTAAAATAAATGTACTTATAATTATCTCATTTTACGTCTCCTTTCAAGATCAGGTAAAACTCACATTCAGGTAAATTCAATTCTAATACACGTAACTAGATTTTATTCAGGCTTTCCTTCAAATATATAAACAAGTCGTTTTTAGTACTCCATCGGTTAAACTTATTAAGATGAACCAATACGTAGCAACATTTTCTTCAATGTTTATGTGTGTAACAGTATCTTTATTATCATTAACATTATACTTTATCGTCTTCATTAAAATGTTTTGTCAATTGCGTTCGATATTCGATTTAAATTAAAGCTCTAATCATTCTTCAAATCATCCTCAATGTTGACATCTTCATTTCATATTTAACAGTGGACAAAATTTATTCTGAACATTATTATATATAATTATATGAATTATAATTAATAAAAAATGCTTATTACGATAAAATAAAAGTCAGTATCCAAATAAAAAGTTTCAGAAGCAATATTCATTTTATTTAATATATAGATTAAGCGATTGTATATTTCCTCGATTGTTCGACAACTACATTTCTCACCAACTTTCTTAAAAAAATATCGTACTTTCTTGGAGAAACAAATATTAAACAAAAAATAAAAAATAAAACAAAAAGAAGAAATTAATGACACTACAATTAATTGTCTAGTAATTATTGGAATGAATGAATGAAATTATTTAAATCCAATTCTTCGTTCCACCGCTTTCTACAGTAAAATAACACTACCTAGACGAGCGATCTTTATGGTCCCGAATATTTGAAATTACGCCTGAGTTTTGAAATAACTTAAACGATGTATCTAAACTCACTACTGATGTCGCTACTTTTAGCCCTTGTTTCTTGCAACTTTATTGTCCATTATGTGACTCATTAAATTTTTCATTTTCTTTGTGTTCTCGCATAAAAATGAACCGGTAAATAAAGCATCCACAGAGAAGCGTCAAAAACTTTTTGAGCTTCTCATACGGTGGAGCGGGGCCGTGAGTGGGATGGTAGGCGAGCGGGGGGATGTAAACAAAATGAAGATAATTTTAAACCAATATGCTTATAAGCGTGCATCGGCTGTTGTTGATGTCAGTGACGTTGTTCTTATTGACATCTTGTGAATTCTGGGAATTTGTTGTTTTATCCCGTGGTGGGTGTAATACTGATTTTGTTAGCCAGAGAGAAATTCACAGAGTGCAAATGAGAGCGACACTTTCAAATTCTATTTTGGTGTCATGTGGATTATCGAAGCCGTCAACGTAGAACTAGAAAATAGTTCGTTCTTACCTTGCCGATTGTCGGCAATATATGACTTTAATTATAATGAACCACTTTTGCTAAAAGAACCCAGCGAACGCGCTATATGTCCTTGAGAATTAAACATTACTTCTTGAATACTTTAACATTCGAACTCATATCGTATGAGGCTGCTTCTTTCATAAGTATCATTTCCTGAATTATCGTTTATTAATGCAAATAAACACGCTCGATCACTTTTCTTGTGTATTTGGAATAGACATTATATTTAAATTATATCGTATGATAAACATTAGCTTAATACTTATAGACAATCATATAATAATAGAACATAGAATAATTGACAATCACTACGAGTTTTATTTTTCTCTACATAGTAGTTTATAGTATAGTTCATTACATAGCCACTAGGGTTATATAATATAGAATACAATTTATTTAAGAATTCGATTAGCAGTTTTACAAAATCCAATTTGAAAATATACCAAATTATTTCAGAAATATTTATACGCAAATAACAAATAAATATTGGTTTCATTCATAATTCGTATATAAAGATGAACAATTATAATTCTAAAATATAT